CATGACTCTACTCTGTGACAACAAGGCAGCTATCAGTATTGCTGCCAACCCGGTACTACATGATAGAACAAAGCACATTGAAGTTGACAAGCATTTTATCAAAGAGAAAATCATCACAGGCGAAGTATGCACTCCATACATCAGCTCTGAAGACCAACTTGTAGACTTATTTACAAARGGGCTAAACYATTCCAGACATCAAGGTCTCTGTGACAAGTTGGGCATGATTGATATCTATGCCCCAACTTGAGGGGGAGTGTTAATAGGTGTATTATATGTACTGTACACAGGCTTAGTACCTATAGGGGTATTTTCGTAATTCTGTATACATTTTGTTATGTACGACCAGATTAATATAAATAGATAGCTTCACTCGACTGAAGTGAAGTTTTGTTGAGGCCTTAACTCAGTTGCCTCTTATTCTTCTTCCTCTCCTCCTTCTTCTTCCTTCTTCTTTTCTTCTTCTTGGTCTCCTGCTCAACAGGATCTAAGGGTGTTCCCAAATGTGAGACAAATCCTGAGACCACCTCTTTTTTGTACAAAGAAACAAAAAATAGCGAAGGGAACAAATCCTTTAAAGGTGTGTCTCCTACCCAAATATTCTCCCAAAAATGAACAATGTTGCCAGAACAAACTTCATACCTGATAAAATTGAGGAATTGAGGATGGGTGTTGTGAATGGCCTTCCAAGGTGCTGCTAGTTAGCTTGCCTTGATACACCAACATCCCATCCATTCTTTGACCTCCCATGAATGCTTCCCACCACCTCATGCCACAACCATTTCCCTAACAGAGCTTGATTTTTTCTAGTTACCCTCCCAAGTCCCAAACCCCCATCTTCTTTACTTTTGCACACAATTTCCCAATTAACTAAGTGATCCTTTTTTTCTTGTCCCGGCTCATAAGAAGTCTCTCATCAACATCTCCAGTTTCCTAGCTTCCCTAACTGGCTTTCATTGCATCTGTCCATTCAGGTACCACGAGAGCTGGTTAACAAACAATGGTGTAGGTTCATGTCTGCATAAACACATATATTGATGGAAGTAAGGCGGATGACACATGAATTGAGAGCTAAATTTCTTTGCTCGCAAAAATCAGCAAATAGTTTCAGATACATTGACAAGGGGAGAACAGGGACAGAATGTATTTGGGGGGGGGGGGTTATTAGGGAATCTGATCTCTAGTATTCTATACAAACTGCACGGACTAATGGGTAAGGTAGCATCTAGGTACAATTGAGTATTTAGCACATTCTTGCCATACATATTATCCATTACTTTGTCCTCAATTAACAAAATTGAATAGTGTTAAATAAAAAGAAAAGTCTCATTTGAGTATATCTATGCTCATATATCATTTGCAAGGTTCAAGCGGCTGGGTATGCGTAAAACATTCTTCCAGAGACAGAACAAGTTGTAAATGTATGGCAGTTACAGGCATTTGGCCCAATGATGGTATACTTGATTGGGCCTGAAATGCTATTGGCATGGACTGGTAGGTGCCCATCCTTTTACCAATCAGATGGCAGGAGTGGCATTAAAACATGCTATTGTCATAGCTGTACGCGATAGGATTGAACTGAACTTCCCCAAGCTTTAAATAGGGGAGGTTGAGTATGTAACGTTCACTGATGGCTTACATAAAAGCCCTTCTTTTAGTATAATAATTGATTATTTGGCATAAACTAAAATAAATAATTTGAGAAAGAGGGAGATGTTCTGTAGCTCAGTCTTAATTATTCAAGAGGGGCCCGAGTGTAGGAAACCCAGGCCCTTCTGGGTTAGGTGGGGTATTGAAGAATGAAGCCGGGAATGTGATACTAGAGCAGAATTGTTTGCTGCCCTGCAAAGTGTACAGTTTGCAGCTCAATTAGGGTGGAACAGCTAATAGTTGAAGGTGACTCAAAGGTTGTAATAGGCTGGTTGCAGGACTCAGAGTCAGTAGTTTGGTGCTTCAGGAATGAAATTGAAAAGTTTAAGGTGCTGACAAGAAATATGGACCTAAGAATACAATGGGTGGGGAGATCAGCAAATGCTATGGCGGACTGTCTAGCCAAGCAAGGGGCAGCTAGGGAAGTTTTGTATTGGGCACAACTGTAACTTATTGCTTTCGTTTTCTTCTTTAGTGGAGAGATCGCAGCTCGCGCCTTTCCAAGGGCTGCTTGTATGTGCTAATATTTCCAAATTAATAAAAGGTTCTATTTATTTATCAAAAAAAAAGAGGGGGCCGAGTGGGAAGACAGGCTATGATATTAATTGCAAAAACATCTTTTCTGTTTTCATTGAAAATTCTTTAGGGCTTGTTTTATTATTTCCTAGTTGCCTAGCTCTAATTTGGACATTGTCATGCGCAAAGTATTAATATTGAGAAACAGTAGCTGGCCTAGGATTGATATTGAGCTGAGACTGAACAAACTTTTAAGTATAGAAACTACTTCTAAATCTAATTCAGATTTTAAATGGGTGGGTAACTTCTCTTTCAAAGAAAAATTCCCTTCTGTTTTTGCCCTGTCAAGATATAAAGATAAACCCTTGTACTCTTTCTTGGTTCCTTCAAACTCGAGGAATGGTGTTGATTGGCATTTGGGGTTGAGGAGGAGTGTGAGGGATTCAGAATTTGATGAGGTTTTGGACTTGATTCATATCCTTAGTGGGATTTATTTGGATTTCTCTAAATCTAACAGTCGTATTTGGACCCTATCCTCCTCTGTTGTATTTTCCTGGGCTTCTTTCTTTAAGGCCCTGATCCAACCTTTTGACTCTTTGGGATACCTTTCCTGGTGTGACTTACTCCAAAGGAAAATGACTAATTGGTGTTTATCCCCACACAAGTGTGTTTTTGTAAGGCTAATGGGGAAACTTTCTTTCATTTATTAATTTCCTGCCCTTTTGCAACCGTTGTTTTTTTTTTTTGATAGACGAAAGAAATTGATATTAATATTGAAACAGTGAGCATACAAACAGTCTAAGAAGAGGCATGACATGCACTCTTCTTTAAAGATGAAAGCACAAAACTCACACTAAACAGAAATCTGTTTACAAAGTTGCCCAGTACAAAGAAACCCTTGAGACCCCTTGTTTAGCAAGAGAATCAGCCAAAACATTTTCTGATCTGCTAACCCACTGAAAATTAACTGACATGTTTATTGTAAGCCAATTGACTCTTCTTAGAGGATCTCTATAATCCCAATTAACAGTATTTGGGTTTGCCAACCAACCCACCACCACCTTGGAATCTTCCTCAATTACCAAATTCTCCACTCTGAGTTGGTTGGTTGGCAAGCTGTATTCCTTGTACTGGTGCTAGTATCTCAGCCCTTGTAGAGTCTCCAACTCCCACTGGTCCTGAGTATAAGGAAAGAATGTTGCTATCCTTATCTCTCAAAACTCCTCCTATGCCCGAAGGTCCTGGGGGTTCCCTTGACTACTCCCATCAAAGTTCAATTTCACAGAGCCCTTCAGAGGGGGTAGCCAGCTAGCTTGTGTTCTTATCTTTTGAGGAGATGTAGAAGCCACTGCTGCCCAGTTTCTCCTGAGATCATGGGAGTAGTTCTCAAAAGTGCTGTAGTTTTCAGCCAAAGGGTTTCCCTTGTCCGACACCCTGTTCATCTGAGCACCTAGGTGGTAAAGCTTTATTAGTAACATTCAGTTGCATGTAGGCACAAAGCTCTTTTGTTATATCCATTAACTTGTGACTTCCTGATAGTTTTTTTTTTTCCCTCCCTAAAGCTAACTTTTGCTCGAAGACAGGTTATTCTAGAAAATAGTGTCCATATTGAAGATTGGCTATTCTAGAACGTGCGAATTACATCTTCTAGTAGTTCTATATTATTCTCAACACATAAATTTGGTGGTTCTGGCAGTTAGCTAATAGCTATCATGCCATACCTCTGATGGACCTAACTTTCATTCTTTGGGTTTTTTTTTTTTTTTTTGCAGTGGTTATTTTGGGCAGGTAGAACTTGTTGCTACATTTGAAGACACATTTATACTCAAGTTCAAGTGGGTGCTGGTAGGTGAGTATTTTCAGGACCCCGCTTATTAAAACCTAGGCGGTTCACTATTTGGCTTTTTTCTATTGTGGTCGATGATCACCGAAATGGGCTGGTATAGAAGAGATCAAACAAACAAGACATAGGACATCTGCATCATACAGGACGCTTGTTTATGGTAGGATTATATCAAGGACATGCTCATGGTGAGTCTTTATGGTATGCTCAATGCTTACTGCAAAAGGCTATATTCTATAACCTAAAAAGTCTGATTTTTGTGAGATTCTCATTTGTTTTGTGGTACCTGTGCATATAACATGCATTTGTCAACGAGCAACGAGTATATCTCATAATAGTGTTTCATATCATTTGAAAATATGATGAGCTAGCTCATTATCTAATAATATGATTCAACCTACTTAAAAATGAAAATTTGAAACTTCATGTCATCTTTTCTTAAATGAAACATCTTTGATTTGAATTCATGTTATAAACGATACCATACAGGATGGATGTGAGTAGTGTCTGTTTTGGCATTTGATTTCATTGGTTACTCCTATGATTGGTGCCGTTGATTGGTTATAAATTTTTCTGGTATGATGTCTTTCCGGCATCATAGTCAAACCCCTCTATAATACTCCAATTTTAACATTTCATAAAAATTAAATAAAAAAGTCCCAATTAAAGACCTAGGCTAGAAAGCCTTGATGAAAATGATGTTTTGAAGATCCAAACCATGTTATAAACTGATACTTGTCAATAAAACGGTAACAAGTTATTCAGATCATGTTGGATTCTTATATTCTTGGTCTTGCTGTTGTTGGACTTGGACAGCAAGAAATCTTTTCGACTGCAGCACCGAAATTATGGAAAACTGGAAAACAATGATAAGAAAAAAGAGGATGACGAATATACAAGAAACCCCAAATTCTCCAAGACTGATCATCCTAACCCTATGTCACAGTTCTCCCGTAAACACAAATTCTACGCCCATCAAATGGGGGTGTGAAGGAGATCAGTTGATGAGCGATCAAAAGCCCAGCTGAAGCACTTCTGTGTGCCAATGCGGGTTGCTGCCAATCTTTTATGCATTTATCGGATTTCAAAATTCGAACAGTTAAAGCAAGAAAGGACCGTTGACCGTATCATGTTCCGTGTCTTGCGGCATTACTTTCCGTTTTCGCTGCCATGTTTTGCCAACAAGATCAAGCGCTCATGGTCATGGAATCTTGAAATTTTGAAAGGAGCAACACCTGTTTTATTGTAGTCTCCCAGCAGCAGCTTCCTTTTATGCATTTATTGTAGTCTCCCGGCATTAATAACTTTAGTTGAGTGGTAATGTGTAATATACTAATAGGAGTAGGAGAGAGAGAGAGAGAGAGGCAGGCTTGCTGCTGGTGGTTGGTTCCTGGATTCCTTCACCATACCACGGCCCAACTTTAATTTTGTATGAATGCAAGGCTCTGTTTGGGAAGAATGCAAATACAAATATATACCATAAAAAGCCTTACATATAAAAGGTTCACAAGAATAGGCGCCCAGATTGGAATGGCTCATTCAGATTCCAACCATTTGGTTGATCAGAATGACATTCTTGGGAAATGGTATTTCTCCCAACGGGCGAATGGCCATTCCATCCCTTCCCTTCTTCTTCCCCCCTTCTGACCAAAAAAAAAAAATCCCACTTTGATCCAAAGCCCTAATCGACCAAGCTGTCACCGTTTCATAGGCCTTCCTCCATCCAAGTTAACCTTCGAGCATCACCATCTCTGGTGAAGTAAGGCTGGTTGCCGGTCATCCTTCCCTTGTATCTCCTCTATTCTTCTTCTTTTTCCCCCCTTTTCTCTTCTTCCACCCCCTCTTCTTTATCTCTCTTCCTCCTCGCCTCTATTACCACCCCCTATTTTTCCTCCCCTCTCCTTCTTCTTTCTCCCCCTCTTCTTCCAATTCCAATCCTGTCTACAAGCAAAACAGACCCATAGTATTTTAAACCTTGTATTTGCATTCTTTCCAAGTTGGAAGGAGTACAAATACACAAACGTAGGGTATAAATTTTATATATACTCATACTGTACATATTCGTATTATACTCGTTCCAAAATAGCCTAAATCCTCGTTAAAAACATAAAATATCAGGATAATATTACTTTTTCTTTTACATCATAAAATTAGATGGGTTGGAGTCAACCCAACGCACAGCTGTAATGTCTCACTGTCACCGTGGGTAGGTATGGGGAGCAGATCCGGACTGCGCATATTATTGAGTAATCAACCCAACTTCCATTTCAGCTTCAGCCATTAAAGAAGCTCACAACCTCCTTAATAGCTCATTACTATTAAAAAGGCAAAGTAATAAATCCTTCTTCAGCTCACTTCCACTTCAAGCTGTTACCACCACCACTTATATTTAACCCAATTTTCTAGTCTTATTATTAGGGTTAGTTGAAGTGATAAACCCAGTAACCCACAAAGCATCCACCTTTCCGTATATTGCTAGCTCTTGTTGTTTACTTGTTTTGCAACATTGTTCTTGTTTTTATCTCCCATTCCATCCGAATGAACCCCATCAAATATATCAGAACATTCACAAAAGGACAAAACAATACACACATCAATACGTACATACGTACAGAGAGAGAGAGAGAGAGAGCATCGTCACCACTTGGCCACCGACAGACAGTCGAACATAGCTAATGTTTTCTCCCTCCCCTCCTCGTTTTCATCACCATCTCCATTTCCAGTACCCAGAACGTTGTGAAAATTTCAAACTCAAATTTTGATGCTCTCAACTCCCAATTCAATTAATTAATCTCAACTTTCGTCTACCCCCCAAAAAAAAATTAAATCGAAATCTTAAATGACAATACATCCACAAATTCATAGAACAAACAGAACTCTGTTCCTTCACCTGGAAATTTCATCATTACGCTTTAACCAGTACATAGTGAGTTAATTATCTGCGTATATATATACGTATAGAGGGGGGAGGGGGGA